GCGCCAGAGCCAGATGGTTTCACTGGACGTTTCTATCAGGCTTGTTGGCCAATAATTAAAAAAGAAGTCATAGAAGCAATCTCAGCTGTGTGGAGTGAAAGTGCAATCAAGCCCTAATTATGGGTTTTGGTGATAATGACCACGCAATTAAAGAACTAATGAGATTTATTGAGATGACAAGCAGGGAATCTATGTTCGAGGATGTTACACAAAACGGAGGAGCCCCCAATTACAAATGTTGATGGCTTCAAAGGAAATTTAAATTCTTTAATATTTTGAATTTGAGTATAAGAAAAGCCGTATTATCAAGGGGGACACAATGGTTAAACTAACATGTGCTACCAAGTGTTCAATCTTACACAAGCATCCTCAGTTACTCAGCCAAGATAGCCAACACTTCACTCTTACTCTTGTTGTTTTGCACAGTGCGGCAAAGGTCATGCACTGGAGAGAGAGCACCGCAAGACTGATCAAGACTTCAAGCTTTTGAGCATGCAACCTTCTGTGACTTAAAGTGACCGTTAGGGCTGGGGGTACCTTTCCCCTTCCTCCCCAACATCTCTCTTCTCTCTTCCCACTCATTCAGCTCGTCCAAGAACAGAAGAGTGCCCTTCTCTCTCTCCTCCATTGGTGACCTTGAGCTCCTAAGCATTCTCCTTTGATTTCTCCATCAATTCTTAAGAGAAAAAGGTCCCAAACTCAATTAGAGAGTAGATCCTTTGATTCCCCAACTCAAAACAGCACTTGGTTCACGTTTTGGCCAGCGGTTGTGTTTATTACTCTTGAAGCTTTGCTCCTAGCCGGCTAAAGCGTCGCCCGTGGAGCTTGCCAACTTGTGTGGTAGCCCCGGGAGGTTTGTAACCACCTCTTAAAGCTAGTAAACTCACCGCCCAATCAAGAGTTAAGTCTCTTGACTTGAGAACGAGGAAGGGTTGCAAAGCCCTAAGCCTTAGTGGCTAACCTCAACAACGTGGACGTAAGCAAGTCTTGGTGGCGAGCTGAACCATGAGTTAAATCATCGTGTCACCTTGTGCTTGATGTACATCATTTGCATTTCATATTGTTGTTGAGGTGATTTCTATGGTTTGTGGTCAATCTACTTGTGTGTTGTGTTCCTACCACTTCTAGCTCTCGATTTGTGAATCTCATATCTACAGGAAGCTAAGAAATTTCTCCGATTCAAGTTTACATTCGCTAATTTTGAACTGTGACTTGAAGTTGCCTCTGGTCTGGCAGAAGGTTGTTTGCTCATTACATCCGGCGCGGTGCCTGTTCTCCCAGCGATCTGAGGAGTCGAGCGGCGAAGGTCAGCAGTTGAATTTGATGAAAGTTTGAGTGTTTGTTTTAATAGGCTTATTCAACCCCCCCCCCTCTAGGCTAACCAGAGTTCCTACATGGAGTCGTAAATTCAGAAACTTTGAGAGCCTCAACTCGGCCTTCATTACCTTGCTGCCCAAAATAGCTGGAGCTAAGTGTGCCAAGGATTTTCGGCCCATAAGCCTTGTCCATAGTTTTGCCAAGCTCGAGACTAAACTATTGGCCAATAGGTTGGCTGGAAGGCTGCAGCAAATGGTCTCTCCTAATCAAAGTGCATTCGTCAAGGGGAGATTCATACAAGACAATTTTATGCTTGTGCAACAAACACAAAATTTCTACACCAACAAAAGCATCCACGTTTTCTCCTCAAGTTGGATATCTCCAAGGCATTCGGTTCAGTATCTTGGCCTTTTCTTCTTGAGGTACTGAAACAATTGGATTTTGGGCAGATTTGGCGTGACATCATCAGTGGATTATTGGGCTCTTCATCAACTCGGGTGTTAGTCAATGGGATCACTGGTGAGATTATCTTGCACCGGCATGGATTACGGCAGGGAGACCCTTTGTCTCCGATGCTTTTTATTCTTGTGATGGATGTGCTTAGCCTAATGGTGTCTATGGCAGCTACTAGTGGTTTGCTACAGCCACTGTCATCTAGAGCTCTCCAACACAGAATTCTCTTTATGCCAACGATGTAGTGCTCTTTCTCTGTCCGGAGGCGAATGACATTAGCATAACCATGGATATTCTGAGTCTTTTTGGGGAGGCATCCGGTCTCAAGACAAATGTACAGAAAAGCAGTGCGTTCCCTATACGGTGCCAGGAAGAGGATATTCAAGTAATACATGATAACTTGCCATGTGAAGTTTCAGAATTCCCATGCCGGTATCTTGGTTTGCCTCTTTCCTTGAAAAAGCTCATGAAAGCACAATTCCAACCCATCATTGATCGGCTGGCTGATCAGCTTCCAGGGTGGAAAGCAGACCTTTTGAATAGGGCAGGTCGAGCAGTGCTAGTTCAGTCTGTAATGACTTCTATGCTAATTTATTTGGCAATGGCGCTGGATTTGCCTCCTTGGGCCATAAAAGCTTTTGACAAAATCAGAAGGGGATTTCTATGGCGAGGAAGAAAAGATGCGAAGGGAGGACATTGCCTAGTAGCTTGGGGACAGGTGATGCGCCCCCGAGAGCTTGGAGGACTAGGCATCTCAGATCTGAAAAGCTTAGGATGGGCACTCCAAATGCGCTGGTTATGGCTGAAAAAAACTGAGCCGCACAGGCCATGGGGCATGTTTTCAATCCAGGTACAGGAGCAAGTTAGAGTGTTCTTTGCAATGGCCATTGTGAAGTGGGGGATGGAACTCACACATTTTTTTGGGAAGATAGATGGCTGCATGGGCAGCGCATCATAGACATCGCGTCTCACTTACACTCCATGGTGGCCAAGAGAAATATCAAGAAAAGAACCGTGGCAAAGGCTCTCAATGAACACCTATGGATATCAGATGTGCAAGGAGCTTCATCTATTATAGCTCTGGTGGAGTACCTCAGTCTTTGGGATCTCATCATGGATTTCTCGCTGCAGCCTAACATAGAAGACGTACACATATGGCGCTTTTCATCCTCAGGTAAATATTCAGCAAAATCAGCATATGAGTATCTTTTTCAAGGAGCAATTCAGTTTAGGCCATGGGAACGAATTTGGAAAAGTTGGGCTCCTGGAAAGTGCAAGTTTTTTCTATGGCTTGTAGCTCATGATAGATGTTGGACAGCTGATCAGCTTGCGCGTCGTGGTCTGCCCCATCCTGAGCGGTGCCTCTTATGTGACCAGGAACAGGAGACAATAAACCATCTGCTAATATCATGCCCCTTTGCAAGAGAGTATTGGTACTCCATCCTTTGTCATGTCAGGTTACAACAATTTGCACCTCAGCCAGCTGATACAGAGTTTGATGAATGGTGGGATAGATCATGGCGCATAATTCCAGAACACCAAAAGAAGGGATTTAATTCCCTGGTCGCGCTAGGGGATTGGATTATCTGGACACATCGCAATGCTTGTGTATTCGAGGGAGCAACTCCTAGTATGTCAAGAGCTCTCAGCGTCACTAGTGATGAACGGCGTCTTTGGGAGATAGCAGGAGCGCGGAGCCTCTCTTCTTTGACTGGTCCGGCTCATGAAGAGTAGTAGGTTGGTGTCTGGGGGTGTCGGTCGCTTGTCTCAGTTCTAACAGGCGCGCTTGTAATCACAAAATATTAGAGTGGCATGTGTAGTGTGTGTTGGTGTTGGTGTTTATGTTTGTTTGTGGTTGTGTTGCCCCTTTTTCTTCTTAATATAATGATACGCAGCTCTCGTGTTCGAGAAAAAAAAAGGTTTGTAAAAGCCTAACAGCTGTCACTTGGGCATGCAGCGTCTTGCAGAAGTGATAAAACATAGGGATCAATGACATCAATAAAATTTCAAGTTAGTACTCCCTCTGTACCAAAATAGTTAAGTTTTGTTCTAAGTTAAACTTCTCTAACTTTTAACCAAGTATATAGAAAAATGTATGAACATCTACAATGCCAAATAAATGAAACATCAAGGCATTTCGCAGTGGATTTAATGACACTAATTAGGTGTTGTAGATATTGGTGCATTTTTCTCTAAATGTGGTCAAAGCTAGAGAAGTTTGATTTAGGACAAAACTAAGAGTCTAAAACGACCTACATTTTTAGAATAGAGGGAGTACAAAACTAAGCAAGGTCAAAATGTACAAAAACAGTAGTATGCCCTGGGCCCCTGGCTGAGGCCGATGGCCCACTCAGGCTCATAGTTATGTTCACTAGCAATGTTGATGCACGTTGAAGTCCGCCCAGTACGGAGTCTCCTGGAGTTTTTTTTTTTTTTGAAATTCAGAGTCTCCTGGAGTTGATTGTTAGAAAGTCATACCTATTGTAACTTGTGATAGGAAAGGATCCCTCTAAAATAGGGATGGTTAGGAACCTAGAATACTTATACTTAGCCAAAGTCGGAGTCTCCTTTATGTAGAGAGAGGCCTTCTACCCCCTTTGGAACTCAAGCAGAAGAAGAACAAGGGCCTAGCCCATCTCTTCAGCATCTAGCTTGGGCCAAAGTTGCAGTCTCTCTCTCCCTCCCTCTCCTTTATATATATATATATATATATAGAGGCCTCCTATACCCTTTGGAACTCAATCAGAAGCAGATCAAGGACCTAGCCCATCTCTTCCACCTCTAAATTGGGTGCCGGCCTGCCCTTGTGCTCCCCTAACCCTAGGTCTTCAGCAACCTCCTGGCCTTTCCCAAACTTTTCTCGAAAACGCAGGAGAGCTGCGCCTAATTATATTAAAAAGAGAAAAGGGCAAGAGCCCAAACAACCCCACAAACACCACACACACGCACTCACACCCCAACAGATAAAAGGATTACATTCGTGCCCGTGACAAAAACCACACAAGGCGACCACTACTGAGCTAAACACTGCAACTACCGGGGAGGGCAGTCAAGAATGATAGCCCTCGAGCCCCTGCCATAGTGCCTTTCCCAAACTCTGGTAATCTATACACATAGCATAGTGCCTCATAGTAGATCCTATGTATCTGTATTCTGTGGTGCCATACAATAATCTGATTTTTTTTTAGTGCCAGCTTCCATATACACACAACATAGAAAAAGAACCTTACCAGGATCAGCACTGTAGTTTTGTCAGTCCCTTCAGGTGAATCCCAAAAAGCAGGTGATGAATCAACCACTATAGTCTCTGAGTATATATTTGGAATGATGTGTAGGCCAGATACAGAATCCCATGCCAAGGCAACAGGCGGAAAGCACCGCAATTTACAAAGGTCTACGATACAAACACAACATACAAAAGGTTATTGAGGTAGTAAATGTGCAACCAAGGTACAGAGCATTACATGCTATCCTATGTTATTGGACATCTACTAATTGATGATATCACTCCACATAATAGTATAAAAATCTACATTTGATATTAGCAGTTATTATTATCCCCAGAAAGATTAGGACACTAGCAAAACTAATACTGCTCTCAAAAATAAATATTTACAGAGCACAAGAGAAGTAGCAGCTCACTATTTCTCTCAGCTTCCATTTGATCACCAGCATTTTTTATTCCACATCCAGCAGTTTTCAGTGATAAAGTTACTGGTAGAAGGCCAAGGCTTGCAGAAAATGACAAGTTTAGAGCCAATGGGTGATCCTCCAACAGAAATATTTCCTAAGATCAAAAATTATAAGATCCAACCAATATTATAAGATCATAATATAGATTTCAATAATTACTAGTTACTAACTTCAGGAGCAAAACTGGAGCGGATGATTGTTCCAATAGAAAGTGCACTTGCCCCTTCCTCAGGATTAAAGAACTGCCCCACTGCCATAGAGGCTGCTGGTGGAGGCCTACCTGAAATAGTCTGGATGCCAAAGTTCAGAACAAGCAGTTTCATTAAAAATTCCATCAGTGGTTCATAACATTCATAATTCGTTTTCCACTTTCCACTGGTAAAAAATAATGGCCAATACACTGAGTGTGCCAAAGATGCCAGCTGGGATTGGGATATGAATTAAATTTGAGGTTACCTATATAGTTAAAAAAACATCAGAAAACCTAATTACAGAACTGTGTATCCATCACTGACATGAGAATCCGGATATAGTAAGGTCATTTATTTATTTTAAGTATTAACAGAACAAACCAGCCTTTGGCACATAAAAAAAAATATGTATACTTTCTCTACATGTCCAACTTTTATCTTAGTTTCTTTAGCACTTGAGCACACATTTTATGTGAACGAGACAAATAAATGGCCAATATAGCCTGTAAAAACAAAGTCCTATTGAAGAACTGTCATGTTCCACTCATCTCAACGTGTTGTAATTATGGTGCAACTTTTTTTTCTCGAAAATGCAGGAGAGCTGCGCTTCATTAAATTAAGAAGAGAATAAAGGGCAAGAGCCCAAACAATACCTTACACACCACACACACGCACACGCCCCAACAGTTTCTAGGATTACACTCGCGCCGGTGACATAAACACACAAGACGACCGCTACTGAGTTAGACACTCTAACTACCGGGGAGGAGGGCAGTCAGGAAAGATAATCCTCGAGCCCCTGCCATAGACCACAAGCGGCGTTCCTCGCCAGCTAAAATCAGAGCACCAGCTAAGCTTGGAGCTGCTCCATCGAAAACACACCCATTGCGATGGTTCCAAATAGTCCATGCTCCAAGTATACAACAACAACAACAACAACAAAGCCTTTAAGTCCCAAACAAGTTGGGGTAGGCTAGAGTTGAAACCCAACAGAAACAATCAAGGTTCAGGCACGTGAATAGCTGTCTTCCAAGCATTCCTATCTAAGGCTAATTCTTTGGGTATATTCCATCCTTTCAAGTCTCCTTTTATTGCCTCTACCCAAGTCAACTTCGGTCTTCCTCTGCCTCTCTTCACGTTACTATCCTGACTTAGGATTCCACTACGCACCGGTGCATCTGAAGGTCTCCGTTGCACATGTCCAAACCATCTCAACCGGTGTTGGATAAGCTTTTCTTCAATTGGCGCTACCCCTAATCTCTCACGTATATCATCGTTCCGAACTCGATCCCTTCTTGTATGCCCGCAAATCCAACGCAACATACGCATTTCCGCGACACTTAGTCGTTGAATATGTCGCCTTTTAAGAGGCCAACATTACGCACCATACAACATAGCAGGTGTCTAATCGCCGTCCTATAAAACTTGTCTTTTAGCTTCATGGTACCCTTTTGTCACATAGGACACCGGGCGCTTGCCGCCACTTCATCCACCACGCTTTGATTCTATGGCTAACATCTTCATCAATATCTCCGTCCCTCAGTAGCATTGATCCTAAATATCGAAAGGTATCCATCCTAGGCACTACTTGACCTTCCAAACTAACATCTTCCTCCTCCCGAGTAGTAGTGCCAAGTCACATCTCATATACTCGGTTTAGTTCTACTAAGTCTAAAACCTTTGGACTCAAAGTCTCCCGCCATAACTCCGCTTTACGATTCACTCCTGTCCCGGCTTTCATCAACTAGCACTACATCGTCTGCTGAAAAGCATACACCAAGGGAATTAAGCGAATTAACTCCTTGCCTTATCATTACCCATCAATGGTCTTTCTTAGCTTTCTCCCACCAAGCATGGAAGGACAACTCAGAGGGTCGAGGGGACCGTATCTAAAGACCGACACATGAAAGCAGATTGAACCAAAATTCTCTTGCGAACACACAAAGGGACAAGGAGATGGTCAATAGTCTCTTCTTCTTGGTCACAGAGAGGACAATATTCGGGATGAGGCAACCCATGACGTGCTAAGCGATCACCGTCCAAAGACTTGTTGTGCGCGACCACCACATAAAGAAGCGACACTTAGGCGCCGCCAAGATTTCCATTCTTTCCCATGGTCCAAAGAGAGTAGAACCCAAAAAGAACCCATCATATGCCGACTTAGCCGAGTATTGTCCATTGGAGGAGAGCCTCCATATGTGTCTATCCTCAACCTCCTACCGCAGCTGAAAATCCATCAATAAATCCCATAATTGGAGAAATTCCACCAACACACCAACTGTATTTGAGCTCCCCAGAATGTCCGAAATCCAAGCCTAGTTAGTGAGAGCGTCCCGGACAAAGTTGCCGCTTAACCCTCCTCTTGGGAATAGCTCCAAAAGGCGAGGGCAAGGTCTGCAATTCATTGCCCATGGAGCCACCTATCTGTCCGTAAAAATAGTACTTGCACCATCTCCAACTATAGAATTCACATGACCTCTGAGAGAAAGGCTCTCACTTGCTCGGGCACATGTAATGGGAGAGCAGCCCAAGGACGATGAGGTTATGTTTTCTGCAGCCAAACCCATCTCATGCGCAAGGACCAGCCAAGAGACTTGAGATCTGAAATTCCCAGACCTCCCAGCTCCGGTGGTCGACAAACTTTGACCTGTGCCACCGGACAATGTCCACCTTTTGCATCTTTACTACCTCTCCAAAGAAAACCGCGCTAATTTTATCCACCGCTTTGAAAGCCCATGTAGGAAAATCAAAGGCCATAGCCAAGTAAATGAGCATCCCAAGAAGAACAGATTGTACTAGTACCCTTCTTCCAAATTTCTTGTCACTAGATCGCCTTCCAACTAGGTAGTTGATCCGCAATGCGGTCAATAATGGGCTGCACTTGTTCTTTAGTTAGTTTTCTTAAAGATAGGGGCACACCTAAGTATCTCGCATGGGAATTACGAAAGAGGCGGGGCATCGGGTTTTGTATTGTAGCAATCTCCAATTCAAAGACACCGATAGGGATCACAGTGATTTTTTTCTGCAGATTAGTCTTGAGCCCGTAAGCTTCACCGAAACAGATTAAGAATATCCATGGTTGTAGTGATATCCCCAGACTCAAGGCGAAGAAAGAGGGCCACATCATCAACATACATAGAGATGCGGTCTTTGAAACCACGAGATGACAGGGGTAGCAGCAAACCCTCACTGGTGGCCTTAGTAATCATATGCCCCAACACATCCATTATCAAGATAAAAAGCATGGGAGAGAGGGGGTCACCTTGCCGCAATCCTCGGCGATGATGAATAAGATCCCCAGGCACCCCATTTAAAAGCACTTGGGTTGAAGACCCCCAGGCACCCCATTTAAAAGCACTTGGGTTGAAGACGAGGAGAGCAGCCCACTGATGATATCTCTCCATAATTGCCCGAAACCAAGCTGCTGCAGTACCTCTAGGAGGAAAGGCCACGACACAGAATCAAAGGCCTTGGAGATATCTAACTTGAGAAGAATCCGAGGCTGCTTTTGTTGATGAAGAAACCTCGCCGTTTGCTGAACCAACATGAAGTTATCCTGTATGAATCGCCCTTTTATGAAGGCACTTTGAATCGGAGAGACCATTTGCTGTAGAAGACCAGCAAGGCGATTAGCCATCATTTTTGTGATTAATTTGGCGAAGCTATGAACCAGACTTATGGGTCAAAAATCTTTAGGCTAATCAGCACCATCTTTTTTAGGGAGGAGAGTAATATAGGCTGAGTTGAGGACGCCCAAGTTCACAAACTTCCTGTTCCAAACTGCTGAAACCGCCGACATAATATCTTCCTTTATGATGGGCCAGCAGGCCTTATAGAAGCGACCCGTGAAGCCATCTGGCCTGGGAGCTTTGTCTGAAGGTAAGATTTTAATAGTATTCCACACTTCTTCCTCACTAAAAGGGAGTTCGAGATCAGCAAGGTCATGTGCAACGATTTGTAACTCATTTAAATTGATAGTGTACTCCCTGTCAGGACAGTTACCCAGCAAATTTTCATAGAAATCATCAATAGCTGCAGCTTTATCCTCATGACTAGTGCAAATTTGCTCACCAGCGACAATTTTTCCAATAAAGTTCTTCCTCTTGCAGTGACGAGCAGGAAGATGGAAGAGCTTTGTACTTGCGTCTCCATCACGGAGCCAACTAATCCTTGAGCGCAGCCAAGCAATTGTGCGTTGAAGGGAAGCTAGAACTAAGCTGTGCTTTTTTAGACTGTTTTTGAACCACAATTCCCCCGAGGATATCTGACGACTATCTTGGGCGATCTCAAACTAATGGAGAATTTCCCTAGATAAAGCGAGCTGGAAATTCACCTGACCGACCATCTGGTCGCTCCAACTCTGCAAACCTGTGGTGGTAGCCTTGAATTTTCTTGCCAAAGTTATGAAAGGACATGGAGCAGCAGGAACCGAGGTCCAGGATGCGGAGACGGCTTCCTGAAAGCCATCTAGTTTGGGCCAGAAGGACTCAAAATGAAACCTGCGACGACCCTGAGTGTTGTTATCCCTTAGGCCAAGCAAAAGGGGGCAGTGATCCGAATCATCTGAAGCCAAACTCTGTAGCAAACAATTAGGAAATCTGTCCTCCCAGTCCACAGTGCATAGAACTCTGTCCAACTTCACCAGAGTAGGGAAAACCTGCTGATTTGACCACGTAAATTTGCGGCCATGCAGCGGAATCTCTTTGAGAGCAAGATCATTGATAAACCTTCTGAAACGACCCATCATGGCCCTATTAAAATTAGCATTATTCGTGTCCTCATCCTTATAAATTAGATTGAAATCCCCGGCAATCATCCACGGCCCTGGGCAAGCTGCTCGGATATCACGTAGTTCCTGCAGAAAATGGATTTTATCTTCGTTTCCTTGCGGCCCATAGACACAAGTTAACCACCACGCTTGCCCATCCTCAGCAGCAAACTGAACTGTTACACTGTGATTATCAACTCTCTGGACTCCAGAAACACCGATATGACGTCTCCAGGCAATCAGAATGCCTCCACTAGCACCAGTGGAGGGGACAACAGCATAATCAGAGAAATCAGCCCCAAGAGCTGAGAGAATAATCCTGCGAGATAAGCCTGCAATTTTTGTTTCCTGAACACACACAATATCCGACCACGAAGAAACCACAAGAGACCGCAGAGAGTCTTGTCTGGATGAAGAATTCAAACCCCTAACATTCCAAATCAGAATTTTGGAAGGATCCATAAATTACAATCATGTCAAACGACCAAGAAAAGACATCAGGAGACTTAACACAGCAGCACACCACCCTCTCCCTCATCCAGATTTTCAGTAAGAGACCAATGGAAAAGAGCTGCCAGAGCCTGGAGATGAGCATCAGGTAGGGGCTGCTCAAACAATTTCGCATATTCATCCAGGGCCTGTTGATCTATACCTTCATGCTCCTCAATGAGTTCAAGAGTCCTCATTGCCTTCTTCTTCGATCTCCTTTCCAGGTCGTTGAGTCCAAATTCAGACTTCGCACCAGCAAGGCAACGGCTGCGTCGGGGGCTGTCACCTATTGGTCGGCCATCGCTTATTGATGGCCGGGACAGGGAGAAGGCAGTCCCAGTGCTTGAAGCAAGTTTGTTGATGAAGGCAGCCCATGAAACCACGGGACTACCGTAGAGGAGGCCGGAGGCGAGGCAGGCCTGAATGCACCCACACCCACCGCCGAAGGGGAGGGCTCGCACCTCTGCTGCCCGAACCGCTGCGGCCGCTGGAGAGGCCCGCACCTAAGACAGCCGGGTCAACCAGAGAGAGGCCATTGATAGGTCTCGCCCGGAGATGGGGCAGCAAGCTCACAGCCTCAAACCCGCCGGGTAACCTGGAAGGACGGAAGCGACGCCTAGAATAATTGGCTTCACCGAGCTTGAGACTGCAGCGGAGCGGGGGTGACCAGAGATCAAAACAGGGATGGGAGGGGGAAGGTGGAGGAGTCGGGCGACCGGCGCAGGCCGAACACGGTGAGGCCGCCGGACTCCATCGTCTACCAGCCCCACCACACCTGCCGCTCATCGAAGCCAGTGGAATTTCGCCACCAGTGGTCTGGGCTGAGGGGAGTCCATAGGCCCATGAGAGGCCGCCCAGTGGCGCAGCCAGCAGAGGGGGAGCTCGGATCCTCTAGCACTTCAATCGCCACAGTGTAGGAGAGACCATTGATGGGCTTCGATAGGAGCCCTCAAGCCGTTGGCGACCGCCCGCTAGATTAATGTCCATGGCCCGAGGGTTCGACATCTGCCCCAGAGCGACATCATCAGGAACCAGCGACCGATTCCGGAAGAACCATGGCCTGGCCGCCATGATGACGCCGCTCGAAGAATCCACCACGTGGACGACGCATGACGAGGAAGGACCCACCCGCTCGAGGACAGGCCGACGTCGAGAACCACCTCCATCATCGCCCTCCGAGGAGGAATCAGACGACGACGGGGAAGATGGACGGCGGCGCCTCCGTCGATCAGAGGGACCCTCACCGCCTCCGCTCCCAGCATGAGATGGCGGAGGGGGAGGGGGAGGAGCTTCGGGCCCGAGCAGCACAGAGAACCGAGTCTCAACAGGGTAGGACAGAAGCCTCTTCACCGGGGGACCATCCATGGTAGCGACCGGAGGTTCAGAGACCCACAGCTCCTTGGTGGGTGGGAGAGCAGAAGGGTCCAAGCACCATGCTGAACATCTGAAAGAGACCAGGTCCCTCAACCCAACGGTGTCTGGGTGAACTTGCTGAATACAGGCCAGGGGGCTCAAGAACTGCTCCACAGTTGAGGTTTCCCACACATGTACAGGAATTCCCTGAAGCTCAACGTCGATCAACCATGGCAGCACCCGCCCCGAGGCACCGGCCAACCGACTCCACCACTGACATAGGAGGGTGAACGTAGGTGAGCGTAGGGGAGGCTGTCATTGATCCATCAAGCGTTGAACGAAGCCACAATCAGGAAGGACGAGGAGATAACTCGAGCTGGAGGTTTGACGAAGCACCAGGGAACCCGCCTCGACACCTAGACGAGCGGCGAGCACCTCCGCCACCTCACCTGCAGGGGCCAATGGCTCCACCCCACATACAGTCACGATCACGGCATTCGCGAGGTCTTCTTGTGCCCTGGCCATACGATCATCCCAGTTGATAATGCATTGGAGAGACTGCGTAGGCGCGGCAAGGGCATCAGGAGGAGCCACCGTCGAAGAAATTGAGGGCCCAAGATCAGCAGGAGTGGAAGAAGCGGCCGGCTGTCGGAAACGAGGCCGACGTCGACGACGCGGCCGCCTCTCCCTATCGCCCATGGCTGCCCTGGTCCCGGTGTCACAGCTCCGCAGGCAGTCCTTGCCACCGTCACCAGGGACCTCACCCGCCGGAGTGCCGTTACGGGGATTGGGTCCGGCCGGCAACTGGGCTGGAGATTTGCGTCTCCAAACACGCATGGCAGCTCCCAGGCCACTCACAGCACACGCACCGCCGACCAGTCTAGCCGCCGCGACCCCAGACTCGTCACCCGCCGGAGAACCGTTGCGGGAAGAAGCGCCAGGCGGCGACATGACTGGCCCAAGCCGCCTCCAGACAGAGATGCGCTCCGGCAGCAAGACACCGCCACCAGCCGACTCCAAGGGACACACGTAGGAGCGGTGCCCCGGCGAACGGCAACGGAAGCACCTAGTTCTCTGACGGCACAAGGCAGCAGTATGGCCGGCAGAGAAGCAGTTGAAACATTTGCCCACTAAATCAGCAGGGACTTGACGACGAGGGGGGCGTGCTTCGCGCCGGCGTCTCCGCCGCTCGCCACGCGACACGAACTTCACCCAACCGCCTGGACCAGGCCTCACAGCACCACGCTGCCTAGGAGCAGAAGGGCGGATAAGGACGATCCTAGGAGGCGGAGGCGCTGGCACTAGGATAACTTCAACTGCGGCAGAAACAACCGTCGCCGCGGCCGCCGAAGGGGCCGAGGAGCCCGGGCCAGCAGACGAGATGACGACGTCGCGAAAGGACGGAACAGAACCGTCGGAGCACTCCGAGCCCGGACTATCGCAGTCCCACCGCTCGTGCTTGGAACGACCGCGAGAGAACAAGGGAGGGGAGGAAACCATCGCCGATGGGGAGGGATTGGCCGCCTGCGTGGACGAGGTGGAGGTGGCCGCCGGGCTCGGGATGAGCGACGGCGGAGGGGCAAGGGAAGGCGAGGCGACGGGAGAGGGAGAGACGGTAGCCGTCGCCGATGGGGAGGGATTGGCCGCCTGCGCGGCCGAGGTGGAGGTGGCCGCCGGGCTTGGGATGAGCGTCGGTGGGGAGGCAAGGTAGGCGACGCGACGGGAGAGGGAGAGACGCTTGGCATCCCGCCCCTCATCGGTTTATGGTGCAACTTACACTTTATTGTATTCATTCATTGCATTTCCTCAGTAGAAGCCACAAGATTTCAATAAAGGAATCAATGTGGAAATAGCATTCTCCAAAAAATTTACTAGAAAACTTATAAGACATTTAATTGTAAAAGAAATATTCTAGCACAAGACAGGAACGGCACAAGAGAATACCGGTCGAGGTGCTACTGATATAGTCATGAAGCCGAAACCACTCATTTCTTCTGGACTCAGTAGTAGAAATGCAGAAGGAGTTGGTTGCTCAGTTTGACTCCCAGGTTCAACCTAGTAAAAAAGTATAACAAATGATTACGAAGGTTGTCAAAATTGTGAGCAAATTTTGTTTGACATGATAAGATCATACGGATCATGATCCTATCAAGTTTTAAAAATTGTACAAATTTTACAAAGTCAAGTTTTTCTTGACAGTTGACATCTTTTTCCAAGAAAGCAATTAGACAAAAAACTAGAACAATGACATTTTGATGTGTGTATCAACATTTATCTCAATTATAAACTAATTTAATTTGCTAATTTGAACATATATAAAGTGTAATGTAAGAAAGATAACATGTGCCAGCTTAAAATAATATATTGAGAGATAGCATATTAAACTAAAAGAACATAATGATAGAAAAATATATTTTGCGTGCTAACATAGCTTATTGTCAGTACAAGTCCAACCAAATGGTGAAGAACGTTCTACACAAGCAGGCAACCCAACAAGTGATCTTGCAAGACTTTGACGCTAGAATAGAATCCATTTGTGTCATGTCAGCTACTAGGAATGCTTCAATCCGTATCATCCGAACAACAACCTTATATTAAGACGACAACAATGATGAAGATGGAAATGAATTTTACTTGCAACAGAAGAGGATAATCAGATCAAAGAATTGGTTTATTTTGTAATGTGTATTATACTGACATCAGTAAACAAATAAAAAAGTACATCCCATGCAACATTTTTTGTAGTAAGCATACAAGTACACTGCACACAAATAAAGTACAACATCTTGAAGAAGTATGTTTAACGTATACTTTTATGGAAATAAAAAATGCAAGAATCATGATATAGACATTGCAGCTAACAGTAGGAGAAGACAAAGGTTTTAGTTATCAGCTGAGCCATCTATAATGGAAGCAGCACATTACTAACATAATTAATGATAGAATGTAGGAAAATGAGAACGATTAGGTGAACAATCTGAAAAATATTACCTGTTTTGGAGCAGGTCCTGCAGGAATTTGGACCATCTTTGATGTAACTTCCACTATCTTTTTACTGGCAGGTAATTCATTTTGCACAGGTGAATGATGTTTTTCTGGCCACAAGTGAATCCTTACTCCAGAACAAGGGGCAAGATTTGTTACAAAAACAAAGTGTCCTCTACCATTTGATCCCTTCCACAAGAAAATAGCAAAGCTTATTAATCATATGCAGCAATACTTCAATTCAATCTAAACTTCAAATAAGGTTTCTTAATGCAAAAAACACATACAGATAGCAGGGTGAAACTAGAAGGCCAGTAACCTACCAGCTTTTTAATATCTAACCATCTTCTCCTGCCATCCATGGCTAAAACAGTAACTGAATTTGACTGGATATACAGGTCCTTTTCAAGGCCATCACTAGTCCATTGAGTGGATGGTGGGCAAGAAAGTGAACCTTTTTTGTGTAGTTCTACAAGAAAAATATATCAATATGTTTAGATAAGAAAAATGATATGATACTCTGGTACTATGTAAATGGATAAGACCCTATAATTAACCTCTAGGGTTTACATCACATTTGATTGTCTGATCCCTGGGATAACAGAAGTATGAATGGTTGGTGGGTGGCTGTTTTTTGCATAAGAGCGTGAAGTCTTGAACTATGACTGTGTAATTCCGTGGCCTTGGTAATGAAATTCAGGTTTACCATTGTGGAAAAAAAACACACATTTGATTGTGAAATGCTAGTCTTGGTTTTTACAGATATATGCTAAGTTATATCAACTAAAACATTTGAACACTATCATAATCGTATCTTATCTATTTGCTATGCAATATAAATATGCTATAAGTAGCAGTTTGGCATCCTCTCTCTACAGCATACAAAGTTACCAATTCCATGAGACTCATGTTACAGCAGTGTTGCACTAATGTGTTGCACAAATTAATAAACATCTTAAAATGATAACATAAACTATAGCAAAGAAGCCATCTAATAAATTATATAAATCCAAATTAATAAAAGAGGTGACAAAAAATTGCTTACACAATAGAATGTTTACAAACAGAAATAGATTTATGAAAATGATAAATATGATCTTCAAAAATTTTTACATAGATTTCAAATCCCGACCAAGAACTATGTGCTCATTCATTCCATAAATAATTCATCTTCTAAGCAAACAACTTTCTAACTGATCCAACTACAAAGGACTTAAGGAGGTAAAGAATGAGCTATACCACCAGCATCCTGGTTCTCATTGGCAGGTAAAGTTTGTGACAGAGAAGCAGGAACGTGAGCCATTGAACTCAAAGACTGAGGAACTGCACTTTGGAGCATTTTTGTGAACACAAAAACTCTTTTTTGTGTGCTTGAAAATGGATGTCTGTCAACAGGATCTATTATGCTAAGAAGAGTGTGTGCAACCTGGACAATGTCAAGTCAACATAAGTACTGATGTTACCGCATACTGAAAAGCATTGAGAGAATTTGCTGTTGACACATAGTTCCGGACCTGTACAGCTAATTGATTACACCATAGGATAGATTGGTGCTCCATGGATAACCAAACATTCTTCATACTGGAGCTTCCTACCATAAAGCCGTGTGTAGAAGGCACAATTCCATCCAATGATGCCAACCTTGACCTAATCTGAATAAAAATGAGTTTGAAATAACAATCTCAACTTTCTAAACAACACACTCGCCAAATATTGAGATCTTGATTGCATCAAGAATTGAACAAAGATGATCTGAAATTCTGTGAAATTCCAGACTTTAGTCTACAGATATCAGAACCAGTGTTCGGAAAAAAAAATGTAGCTAAACGCTTGCCTAGGCATACATTTAAGCATGAAATGGAGCCCTGGCACGCCATCTCGGCCATAGGCGTCCAATTAAATGAGGCCAAGGGGAGAGGACGGAGAACCAAGGGAGGCGGAACCCATGGTGGTAGACCAAGAGTGCTCCGCTCAGCCTCGGACGTGTGGAAAGCACTGCATAAGGCTGAGGACAGTAGCGATTGGGGAGCACGCGTTGAAGGGCAAGCGTGCAGGTCATGGGCGATGGCCAGATGCATGGCCAGCGCAGGACCGATGGCACGCGTCAGTGGCAGGAGTGATATGCTGTGGATGGAAGCGTTTTCATTACGCAATGAAGCTTTAGCTGTGCCGGGTGAACTGTCCAACCCATGGATGGTGAAGAAAACAAAAGGAGAGACGAGGTTAGGATCGCAAAATGGTTTTGTTTCGGATGTGATTCCATCTTATGCTTACCTCATGGTATCCATGTCGCTTGATTCCACCTGCCCTCTACTTGATTTCGCCCCTCCTGCTCGATTTCACCAAGGGGTTGCATGCAGCCAGAGCAGACGTGGCGCACCATGGAGGGGACGGAAGCGCATGCAGACGGAGCAAAAATGGTGTGTCGTGGAGGGGGGAGCAGACAGGGGAGGAGCTGAGGAAAGGAAATGATGTGGATGCAGCAGCACAAAGATGGCTGCCCGCTGCTGAGAATCGTAGGTGGTAGGGCATCGATGGGAGATGTGATGGTTGGATCAGATAGTGGGCTTAACTTAGGGGGTGGAGTGGGCTGTTGACACATTCCTGATTCCTCTTCATATTCCGTTTGTATTCTTTCATATTTATGCAGCTACATCTTCCCATATGCAGTTAGTAGGTTACAGTTGTTAATATATATAGGCATACATAGTCTTTTCTGTTTCTCTTTCTGGCCCATGTAGGCCTTATGGCCCTTTTGGCCCATACACTGTATATTTTGTAACCTAGACTCAGTGGATGGGGCATGAAAACCATTCTTGCCTAACAACAGTAACATAATCACCTATTCGCATTTAGCCTGCGTTGACTCTCCCTAGGCTCTAGGCAGTGCCCTAGCGCCTTTTACAACCTTGATCAGAACTGGGACCAAAACCAGCAGCCCAACCGGAGAAGAATGGACCCTCATATGGGCTCAGTCGTGCTATTGGATCATTCAAATAGTCTGCCCATCGAACCACTAAGGTAGGTCAGTATGTCAGATCACCAGTTTTTCTCGAAATCACAACGATTGGAGCAGCCCAACATCATGCATCAAAAGATGAAGAAGTTTGCAAATGTAGTGTCCAAGTCCAAACATGCATTCTGTGTTCAGCATTCATGTGGCTAGGCACACTAACCACCAATAGGTGGGTCCATTTACCTGAGACCTTGATCAGGTCAATGCCACTAGCCTAGTCTTGTAGAAGTCTAATAATGGAAAAACAAAATTACAATTAAAAATGCCTACTAGAAACGAAAATCAACAATTTTAATGAGTCTGTTGTGTACTCCCGTTCCAAAATGTAAGGTATTGTGTACTCCTGTTCCAAATGTAAGGTATTTTTGTGTACTACTGTTACAAAATGTAAGGTGTTTTGTTTTGTTCTAACTCCTAAGTCAAACTTCTCTAGCTTGGAAACTGGACCATGTTTACACAAAAATGCACCAACAGCTACAACATCAAGTAAGTTTCATTAAATCCACCATGATATATGTCTTGATAGTGCATTAATTTGGTACAGTAGATGTTAAGATATATTTTTCTATAAACTTGGTCAAAGTTAATTTTGGAAGGAGGGAGTATTTGCTATATGGAAAAAGGGTCAAAGGAACTTTATTTCAAAAGTTTGAAATAGAGAGTGATAGATTATTACAGTACATTGCAAAATACTGAATATCAAGACAGACAAGAGAACATGATAATTTACTAGAAGTGTCATGACACTTGTGCTTTGGTGGCATATCATATATGGTTTACAGGACACTAACTAAAAGTGGAATCAAAGAATAGATTGGCATGCAAGAAGTCATAGATCATAAATGATCACAGGAAAATCTTGTCCTTGAAGAAAGCATATGGATAACCGAATCTGCATAAGATTAATGATAACAGTGAAAGCAGTACCTGATAATCATGAATGCCACCTGATACAGAGACAACAACCACATTAGATAATTTTGAATTGCTTGCATGCGATACACCAGTCCCGTATCCCTTTCTCCATTCTTCATTGACATGGGAGAAAAAATGACCCAAGGATGGCTGAAGTGCGATGGGAGGGTACCTGGATAAAAATTGTGACATTTGAGTAACACTTGATCATCCACCCAATGGTGAAAATTATACAGCAAAGGTGAAAAAAAGCCCCCACTCTCACAAAAGAAAAAACTACAACAAAAATTAACAAAGAGAGCCAGAGAGTACTGGTGTGGGCTGGAAAGTGTCAGTATAGTTTCCACTGCTGATTTCCTCAGGTTTGGGTGGACTACAGCTGCTCGAGCCACAAAACCACCCATTGAATGGCCAACAAGTATAACACTGGATGGCAGGTCATGAGAGGATTGAGCACCACCCTTTGATCTCTCCAAATGTGATTCTTTGTATTGGTCAAGGATCTACAAAGCACAAGATCACACGCTAAATTTTAAACACTGATGAGATCCTTAGGCATTACAATATCCATGGGAAGTTGGAAACTGCAGTGCCATAAATTTGTGGCAATTCTAGATTGAGTGCACAGCAACGTTTTGCGTGAACATAATCATCTTAAACAATTTAAAAATTCAATTTGTGGAAAGCTTCCTATTTGATGGTGACTAAAAGAATGTTAAATTACGACAGTACTGAGCAAAGGGTCAAATAGGTAAGTTAAGATTGAATCTTAAAGGTTGGGACTAGTTACCCTGTGAATTGCATAGACAACATATTCAGTATGCTCCTCAAGTATCCGACCATCCATTGCAGAGTGTTCTCCTTCAAGGTCAACAGCAAACCAATCCAACATGCGGCCATACCGTGAAGGAATCGAAAAATCTTTAAGTTCATCTGCTGGTAAAGTGCTAGATGCTTCCCGATAAAAGGTGAGCTCAAGCGGACCATTCTGATGCGCTCGAAAAGATTCTGCAGCCAATGACCGAACCTAGATGCCACAAATGACAGTCATCATCAGTAACAGCAGTATTGTTTGAGCATTGGTAACCAAAAAAATAGCTAAAACTCAAGTGCATAACTTGTATAATGTCAGACATATTGTAATAATTCAATTTGCATACCCTCCCACGATAGCACAATGGGCATAATAGTAGAGATACACCAGACATGATATGTCATGTTCAAATATGGACTTCACAACCAATGCAATTTTGTTATCACTAAATGGAACACGTTTGATTCCAGAACAAAGTTCTAAACCAAGGACAACGAAAAGTAATAAAACAAGCGAGACTTGCACCTGCTTGTAGCTTCCTCCATTGCCGGGAATGAAGAGCACGGGCACGCCCCTAAGTCCCCTAATGTGCTTGGCGAAGTCGATCTGCTTCCAGCCCTCGTGGTACAGGAACAATCCATACCTATCCGAGGAGATGTTCCGGGGCGTGGCGGCGATGGGGATGTAGGTCGGGTACATGTAGGTCATGACGCAGCCATTGGGCACCGGGCGCAGCAGGCGGCTGAGCGCTGCAAGCGCGACCCAGGCGGAGAAAAGCAGGACGGCCCCAACCCTGCAGCTGCCCCGGAACCCGCCGCCGCCGCCCATGGGGTAAGAGAAGCTCGGACCAGTCGCTCCGAGATCGAGCTAAGATCAGAGAGAGAAAAACGGTGGAGGCTCCGGATCACGGAAGAGATCTTGCACCCTGAAGGCAGCTCGGGGGATCCGGGCACGGGGAGAGAGAGGCCTCGCGGGAGCGGCGGTTCCTCGGGCGAATGCCGCGGCCAAGAGTCGAGTCCTGCGGAGAACTCGCTGAGGAGGACGGGTGGTGGAGATGTGCAGGTGGTAGTGGGGCGGTGGTGCGAGGGAAGCGGCGGCGATGAGGGTGCTCTCGTGCTGGCTTTGGAGGGGAGTTGCGAGCCGGGATCGCTGGCTCGTGGGGCCGACCGGCTGTGGCTGTCGGATCTGAAGGCGCACGAATGTTGAAGCAGGGCGGACGGACGGCAGCACAAACCGAGGGCCGTTAGTGCCTTGGAAGGCAAGTATTAGGGCCTCTATGGTTAAGGCTCCGTTTGGTTCCCCTAATCGCTAAACTTTAGTCACTTAGTGCCATTAGTCACCCGGGAGTGGCTAAAAAGGACTAAAATACACAGTGGATAGGGGCTACCCCTCAATAATTGTTGCATCCGACCCCGCCTCCGCCCATGCTCCCCATTCTCTCTCTCTCGCTCGCATCTGCGCTTCCCGCCGCCGCCGCCGCCCACACGCCCCTCCCCACGCCACCACCGACGTCCCCGCTCCTCCCCACGCCAGATCCACCATGGACGGGCATGGGAGCGGCTACCAGGACTATTTCTCCCAGGCGGGTTCTTCTTCGCCGGCTCCCTCCTTCCATTCTTCCGCCGTTGCCCCTGATGACGAGGACTTCGACCCCTTTTCCCAGGCGCCATTGTATCCTACAATGGTCCCCAGCCTCTCGACTCCAAGGGTTCGCATGGAGAACCTAGATCTGAACTCCCAGGGCAACAACTTCCCCTTCATTGACTCCTACTCGGGGTACCTCTAGTCGGATGGAGGTCACGGCGAGCCACGGCTACCTCCTCTTGCCCCTGGCGCTGGTGGCGGCAGATTCGGCCATGGACCGTTCCAACCCCCTCTGTCAAGGCGGTGGGGGCGGACCCGGCCATGGAGGATGCCAGGGCTACGCGTGGAGGAGGTCGCCGCTCCAAGTCCCACAACACTGGAGCTGCAGCGGGACGCATGCCACAGGGATCCGCTCCCCACTTCACTCCTCTAGGGATGGGTGGCGGAGGTCGTGCTAGGTTGATGCCTAACCGCCCTGGTCGTGGATCCACTTCTGCCGGGAACTCCTTTCCTCCACAGGATCTCGGCGCCCACAATCGGTGGGAGAAAGAAGATGACAACACCGCCCGGTTGGTAAACTCCATATCTATATTTATGTTCTAGTACATCCTTTGCTCTGTCCATGAGTTCATTTGCTATGTTGTTGTGCTCTATTTCGTAGCATATAGATGTATGTTGTGCTCTTTTCTTGATGATTTACTCCATTAGGTAGAACATTTTTGTCCTTGATCTATTAGTTAGTTTTAGCCGATTATTTTTCTGTAATAGAACCATTTTGACAAGGCAAATTGTACCGAAGGAAGCACACATATATTGTGTGAACTATGTGTTGAACAAATTAGGGAAAGGAATTGCCCAAATGGGCATATGAAAAATACAGCTTACAAAGTTATAGCCCAAAAATATTTTAAAAGGACTCACCTCAGGCATGAACTCAAACAATTCAAGAACAGATGGATTCAATGCAAGACTATGTACCAGTGGCATGATTGGTCCCAAGGTGAATCAGAATTAGGCCAAAATGAGAATTGAACAATTATAGCTGATGATGACCGGAGGAACAAACACACAGAGGTACTGTCATTTATTTTTTTCTGTTCATGAATGTCATCATTTCTTCATTTCAATAAAAGTATCAAGAGTGCATTACCTAATATGTGTCTACATTTCTACATTTCAAAAAAAAAATCAAGAGTGCAAGAAGTTGATGGGCCATCCCAACTTACATTGATCATCTTGCGGAGATGTTCCATGGTAACACAGTAGATGGACGGTCCTCATGCATCCCTGGAGGAAATTCAACTCCAGCAGATACATATGGGGATGAAGACGATCAACATATAGATGGGGATGTAGATGGCACCTGCCGGACCAGGGTCCTAGGGGTTCCCAACGGGGTCAACTACCCGGCTGGGCCTTGGGCTGGCCCACAGTCTGCTGGAGGACGCGAGGTAGGTGGTGTGGACTCCAAGCTATCAAGGACCGACCTAGTGAAAGGTCCTAATGGCTAGAGGGGGGTGAACAGCCTATTAAAAATTTCTACAACAACACTTAACAAAACGATTAGACAATTACGAGGCGAAGCAAGTGTTGCGCTAGCCTACTAAAATTACAAGCCACCTACCACAATTCTAGTTTTTATAGTCTCTATCCACACAATGGCTATGTCACTACACTAAGTTAGTGTGCTCTCAAAGGCTAACTAAAGAGCCACACTAACCAAACTAACAAGCTCTCACAACTAGCTATACTAAAGAGCTTGACAACTAGTTTGCAGTAACGTAAAGAGAGAGAGCAAGATAGTTATACCGTTATGTCGAGGAATAAACCAATCAATCACAAGAATGAACACCAATAAAGACCAATCACCTCGGAATCAAATGATGACACAATGATTTTTTACCAAGATTCACTTGCTTACCGGCAAGCTACTCCTCGTTGTGGCGATTCACTCACTTGGAGGTTCACGCACTAATTGGTATCACACGCCAAACCCTCAATAGGGTGCCGCACAACCAACACAAGATGAGGATCACACAAGCCACGAGCAATTCACTAGAGTACCTTTTGACTCTCCATCGGGGAAAGGTCAAGAACCCCTCAATCACCACGATCAGAGCGGGAGAAATTCATCAACCTCCGCTCGACGATTCTCGCTGCTATAAGCCATCTATGTGGCGGCAACCACCAAGAGTAATAAGCGAATCCCGTAGCGAAACACGAACACCGAGTGCCTCTAGATGCAAACACTCAAGCAATGCATTTGGATTCACTTCCAATCTCACAAAGATGATGAATCAATGATGGAGATGAGTGGAAGGGCTTTGACTAAGCTCACAAGGTTGCTATGTTAATGCAAATGGCCAAGAGAGTGAGCTTGAACCGGCCATGAGGCTTAAATAGAAGCCCCCACGAAATAGAGCCGTTGGCGCTTCAGTCCGCTGAAAATCGGGGCGACCGGACGCACCGGTTGGTTTGACCGGATGTAGGACCCTAAAGTCCGGTCGTGCGATGCACACCATGTGTCCCCTACTTCAAATGTTGATCGCATGATCTCAACGGTCATTAGTATATTTAAGTTGTGACCGGACGCACTGCTCAAAGTGACCAGACGCAAGACCCCAACATCCGGTCGTTTCCAGTAAGGTTCCACTCGTGCCCGACCGGACGCAGGACCCCAGCATCCGGTCACTTCCAGTAAGCTCCTAAGGGTGGAAATTTGCGACCGGACGTGTCCGGTCACGTCCGATCGGACTCACCCAGCGTTCAGTCACTCACCGTCTTCTTTGTGTGCTGCCACGTCAGCGGGACCGGATGCAGCCAGCCAGCGTCTAGTCACGAAGTGACCCAGCGTCCGGTCGAAGACCAACGCCAGCGTCTTCACTGCTTCCACTGACCGAACGCTCCGGTCTAGTTGAGACCAGCCTCTGGTGCACTTTGTGAAACCCTGTCTTTTCTGTATAGGGCGCCGGTGGCACTATCGGACTGTCCGCACTCTACGGGCGGGCACTCTGCCAGTGAAGTTTCTAACCCTTGCTCAAATGTGCGAACCACTAAGTGTATCACCTTGTGCACATGTGTTAGCATATTTTCACAAATGTTTTCAATTGTGTTAACACTCCACTAAATCCTAAATGCATATGCAATGAGTTAGAGCATCTAGTGACACTTTAATAACCGCATTTCAATATGAGTTTCACCCCTCTTAATAGTATGACTATCAATCCTAAATGTGATCACACTCACTAAGTGTCTCGATCACCAAAACAAAAAGCTCCTATCAAGTTTCACCTTTGCCTTAAGCTTTTTGTTTTTCTCTTTCTTCTTTTCCAAGTCCAAGCATTTGATCATCACCTTGCCATCACCATCATCATGATCTTCACCATTGCTTCATCACTTGTAGTAGTGCTACCTATCTCATAATCACTTTTATAAACTAGGTTAGCACTTAGGGTTTCATCAATTCACCAAAATGAAACTAGAGCTTTCACCTAGTCAGCTTACTAAGAAAGTTAGATTCTGTAATAAAAATAGGACTCTTCTATTGTGACCGACTAGGACTAGATATGTGCCCCTATCCTCTACCATATATAAAAAGAGAGGTACGGTGCATCCCCTTGTACACAAAATCATACAAACCAATCTAACGTAAAAGGCCACACGTCGCACTGGAGTAAGGTGTTACGCGCATCACGGCATGAACCTGTATAAATCGTCATCTCTTTGTGTTCACCGTCAGGTTTAGTGTACATCAAAGCCCACCAACCATCGTCTCGGGTAACCCCGTGACGAGTTGTCGGTCATCAAACACCGACAGCTAATGCGCCAGGTAGGGGCTTTCGACAACTTCGCAATCGAGACCTCGACGGACCTCGACAACATGATTTTCTCGGTGGGATCCACCTTCATCTTTGGCTCCTAGATCTCAAGGCTGGCGACCATGGCTAGTTCCAAAGTCATCTCATGAAGATCCCGATGCCTCAAGCTTCTCCAGCAGCTTCAACAGCTACGCTGGATCATCTCATCGAGAAATTTTCCCACCTTTCGATTTCTGATCTAACTCGGACTCGAAAGGCTACGGAGAGCCAAGACTCCCACCTGAACACGAGCAATCTATCCAAGTTGGAGACCCCATCAGATGTCCTCATCGAAGAACCGAGTTGTTTTCCACTCGGACTCAAAAACTTGACTTCTATCTTTCAGGAGTCGATCCAACCCCTCTTGCAGTCAGAACATGAGATTCC